CGTACTCTGTCTGATAGGGTTGCGATGAGTAGGAACTGACATGATGGTAGTGAGTTGTTAATGAGATTTTGAAGGATATATTCTGTGGATATTATAATTATCAAGATTAAATATAATATAAACCAAGCAGTCAAATATTTTTGATCATGCATAAATTCATGATGCCAGGAATGATACTGAAGTAGTAATTAAGCTATCTACCTTTCCAAATGCGGAAGCTCAATTAGTTCAAATCTAATTTAATAGTTTTGCCAAACAGTAAAGAAGACGAGTTTCTTAGCTTCCCCTATACATAGCACATCGATTTGCAACCTACTTTTCACTGATTGGCAATGTATCACACAATTTTACCAGATCCTTAAATATCTTGTGAAAATTTTTTTCTTTAATTTGTTTAACCAGGATTTATCTAAGCACTTATTTTTTCTGTTTCATAAATAATATGGTATTAAGTATAATGTTTGTTGTAGTTACATAATCTGTTGTCAATTTGAGACTTATGACTGAAGGGGTGGAGTTTAGCCTGTCAATCAGGTCACAGCTTGATGATCTCATTTGGAGGCACTAAGGAAATAAATAGCTTGCTGGAGGTGGGACACACGCACACTCCCCGGAAGGCATTCTTGTTGAGAAGACACATGGAGCGATGCTAGAGCCCTGGAGCTGAAGGAGCCACATGGAGACCCCTGCCAACGCTGAGATGCTTCCACTGCCACTGGATCCACAAGACTTTCCACCCACTGACCTGTGATCTTGCTGCATTCGGTGTCACTGCATGTATTGCGTGAGTCTGAAGAGGAATTTATAGATCGGCATCGGACATATGTGCTATTATTGGACTTAAGGACTTGGTCTGGACTGGGCTGGGATTTTTTCTCAATATTCAATTGCTCTTGTATATAAAGCTCTTTCTTATACGCCTATGAGTGTCTATGAATTTGTTTCTGCAATCTACCCAGACTAACACAATGTTTTATAACTTAAATGTATTTGATTGTTTCATTGAAATATAATCCTAGAAGTAGAATAACTGGGTAAAGAATTGCAGCATTTTATTATTATTTTGATACAATTTTCTAAGTGCTCCCATTAATGATGAAAAAAATGGAATCAGTTCTCTGCACTCTTACATGTACTGTATTTAGGATGAAAAAATACTCTGCAGATAAAAATTCCAACTCATTTCTCCTTCTTTACTTATTACTTATGTTTCTAAAGGGGACATCAGTTATTTCCCTAAAAACTTATTTTTTCTATTTGATAAATAAGATTGTATTAAGTATAATGTTTGTTGTAGTTACATAATCTTCCTGGGTATACTGGAGATGGAGGAAAACTTTATCTTTCACTGTAGTTTCACGGATTTGCCAGATTGTTACCTGTGAATTCCCTATTGTGCGATTTTGTTCATATTGAGTTCCATATCAAAAAAACAAACAAAAACTGTGGCCTTAGAAGTTAGGGTACCGGTAACTTGGAGAGAGAAGACAGGGATAGTGTTTGGGAAGGTATACAAAGAGAGTTGTGGATTGCTGCTTCTGGTCTACTTCTTGACCTGAATGTTGATTGCTTTGTTTTGTTTATTATATAACTATTATTAAGACATATATTGTGATTATTTTTCCGTTTCCAATATATGTGATAGATTTCATTTTAACCGAATTAAAAATGAATGCAAAAAATCCCACATAAAAAGCACCCATACAAAACAAAACAGCCAAAACAAAATCAGCACATCGCGTCTTTAAGTGCTCGGATTAAGGCATTCAATTGTGTGCATCCTAACAAGCTATGGACAGCCTGGGTCTTGCAGGGCACCTCCTTGGCCCCTGCGCTCTCACCAAATCTATCTTCTCTCTGTAAAGGAAGGAAATCGATGAGATAAAACCTTACACCAATGTGACCATTCCTTAGAATGTATTCTTCCAGGAGTAAACGTCTAGTGAGCGGGTGAGGGCAAGTTCTAAACTTAAGCCTCAGAAGGTCGCGTGGTTTGGTGGCAGAAAATACACCCCCTTCTGGTCAGGTTAAAGTTAGGGAATTGCTGATCTGCCAATCAACATGCTTTACTTATTAAAAAAATGCTAACTATTTGCTGAATGGATATGGCAAGGTGTGGGAACCCGTCTGCCAGGCTGCTCTTTTTTGCCTAGACTCAGTGATGCCTGGTATAGCCAGACGCTTCCCAATCAGAGGTGATCAGGGATGAACACACAGGAATAAGATAGGGTGCCAATTCTATTATCAAGCCTGAAACATGCGCTGCCTGGGCTAAACAGCTAATGTTTTAATGTACAAACCACTGAAACTGCGAGGAGAAGAGAGTGGCAAGTCACAAGTGCCTGGACATGGCCAAACATTGCTCTACAGTTATGTAACAGCTGTTGTGTAACTGTGTAACGCAATTTTGTGCTGAGCGGAGTAAGCCAATCATATGAGGACCAATATGGTTGGACCTCACTTATAACACAAGAATAAAGGCAAATGTCAAAGTTTACTAACAATTAACAAGGACAAGAGCGAGGGGGAAAGAAAATCATGGGAAACTCCCGGGTGGTTACTGAATTGCTGTTAATAAGTTGTAGCCTTGTTTTAAAAAAAATGAACTGGCAACAGTTATGAGGTAGATATAGCTACAACAAGAAGAGGAAATGCTGAGGCAGCTTGCACACAACCAAACAGCTCATAAGATTTAGTTCCCTGGATTGGGTGCTTAGAATCATGGTTTCCTGGAACGACTAGGTAATTGGCATAATCGTATCTCCCAAGTACTTCTATTCTACCTCCTATTATATTGCTTTGTGTTCAGATGCTTAAAAGCTTGAAAGCAGACATCCAAGAAACACCAAGTGGTCTCTGGTCAGCTGGAGCAGCCAAGGAGGCAATAGTCAAGGCATGGACTATGTGCTTGTTTTCATGAGCAACAAGCTCCCGCCCCTGAGACCAGGAGCACTGGACTGTGCTGGCTAGCGTTATTGAACATTGTGATCAGATTCTCTAGGGGAATCTGATCCTAGAGACAAAAGCAGAATCATTTTTCAAAGTCTCATGGTTTCTAGATCTTTTAGATCCATGAAGGGTGTGTAAGCCCCTGAAATTATTGCCCTGAGATAATATTTAAACTAAATAAAAAATATTCCCCAAAGTCCAAACTTATTTTTGAAAGATAAAACAATTAGATTTGAGAGACAGTGAAAGCCAGCGAGCAAGGCAACCAAAAATCAAGCAACCAGCCAACCAAACAAACCCCCACTGCTGTCAGTCAATTCCAGCTCTTAGCAACACTCTATAGAATTCCTGAGGCTTTGTAAATCTATATGGGAGCAGACAGCCTCATCTTTCTCCTACAGGGCCACATGTGAGTTTGAACCACCGATTTTGTGGTTAACAGTTTAAGTAACCCCAAAGTTGCTAGCTGATCTTCACATGCGAGACACAGAAGGATCAACAAGATGAGGGTGGTATTGCCTTAGGATCTTGGGAATTGGCAAATTACAGGCTTTGGAGTCAAGCTGGCCTAATATCTTTGTGTTAGTAAATTTTATCAGCACATACTTACACCCATTCATTTACTTGTTATCTACCATTGCACTCCCATAACTGCAGGCGCTAGCAGCTGCAACAGAGACTGTTTGACCAGGAAGTCCAAAATCTTATTTGTTCCTGTGAAGAAAAAGTTTGCTGGTCCCTGCCTTAGACGAAGAGAAGATTAAACGTGAGTGCTTGTGAAGGTGACTATTGTCTATGAGCGGAGAGCTTTGAGAAGAGGAGTGAGACCCGAGTATGAGTCAGACTACCCTGAGACCAAAGGATGGTCTTGCAGTTGTTAGTTCTGTGACAGGGACCCACTGTCCTACCGCTTCAACCTCTGTACATTGAGACTTGCCAGTGAAGAGGAACAGAATATTTAGGAGCCCGCAACTGAAGTCGAGTAAAGACGCCCTAAGTCTCCGTTCTATCTAAATCTAATTTTTCAGTGTCGCTGTCATTTTCAGTAGGAAAAAGGTATTATTTAATAAGCAGAGTGAAGAGCCTCCAGAGCTGCCTTTTTCACCTTGTTCTCAGTTTAGCTTTTTTCAGAGCTTCAAAATAATAAAGCAGGGTCCTTACAATGGCGGTATTATGTTGTAGCTTAAGAGTGTGTTTTTCTAACCTTTTCAGCTTGCAATATTCATTTTAATAATGTGAATCATTTGGGAATCCTGTTGACATGCATTCTTTGTGCGATGGCCTATGACTATGGTGATAAATATAGTCAAGTTCCAAACCCAGAAGTTAGGTTTAGGTTTTAACGATGGTATCTTGCTGGTTGTGGTCCTTGTATCCATCAGCGTCTTTGGAATCCTCTAAAAATCTCCCTGAGTTTTCTGTTCTAAGGTAAGATACAAAATAAAAATAATAGAGAGCTCCTGAAACACAGGAGGTCTACTTAGCACTGAAAAAGAAAAAGGAAAAAAATAAACTCATGTTGTTGAATTGATTCTTTTAAAAGTTGACTTCGGATAGGTTCTAGAAAAAGAAGCTTTCTTTTCTAACCAGCTCTCTGGCCAAATATCTGTCTTTATGAGCTTCTACTGAGAACAAGGGCCCTTTTAGACATTTTAAAATTTCCTTGTAGTCTCTAAACCCAAGGCTATCAGAGAATGGAAAGTTACACAGTAGCATAAAAATGAAAGAAAAAAAAGTTTCAATAATCATAGCTGGCCTTAGAGAGCAGAGCAGCTGCACTGCTTGTCCTTATCGCAGATTTCAGCTTTGTAGATTAATTCATCTGCAAATAGTGCACTGTCTCCAGGTGCAGCTCTGGTGCGAGACTGCTGGTTTAAGGATTTAAGTTTAGAGTTAAAGACTCCCTGCCTTAGGTGTTACAAATTAGGTAGTCTCCTTTTCTTTGAGCTCCAAGTTCTTTCCTCCAATCATATCCCAGTATGCAAATCAACCTTAGTCCAGTCCAGATAAAAAGGGACAACTAAAGCCGAGTGCTGTCTCAGAACCAAACTGCTGAGGTTGTCACCTGAGGTTGAGGAGCCTTAGCAGCAATGTCATCCGCAGGCATGCCAGACTTACCTGTGCCGCTCACCAATCTGAAGATCCAGTACACTAAGGTCAGTAAAATGTGTATTTGCTCTGCCTCAGGTTTACATTTATTTAAAGCACAAAAGGTCTATGTAAGGAAAGTTGTGTAAAAAGCCCTTTGGGAAGATAGAAATACTAAAACTTGCCAGATGTTGTTCTGGATTTTGTGTTTGGCACAAAGAAGGAATTGTAATCATCTCAGATACATTTTCATGAATTTGTTTCTTAAAAGGTTCAAGTGCATGGAATTCTCTACTGCATGAAATGCTCTTGTGAGAGTGGGTTTTAGGAAACAGTTCTGTTAACTTCAGCATAAACTGGCAAACATGTATGATGAGAAAGGCAAACATTAAACACAGAAACTTATTTGGAAGAGCTATGAAAGTGGGCAGTTTAATAAAATGAAGAAACACCAGGCAGGTTGAACTATCATGACTTTTTCCATACATAATGCAACTAGTGTCAAAACCAAGTGACCTAAGTCTGATAATTGGATGAAAGCCCCTGTGTCCAAAAGTCTCAAGTAGACTCCAATCAATTCAGCACATTTGGGAGAAAAAGAGCATTCATGCTTATTTCTTTAGACAATTCTGGAACGAGTGGGCGCAGATGTGTAATTATTTAACTGATGAGCATTTGCAGAAACAAGAGCAGGAACCAGACACGGATGTAAAATCCACAGCTACAGAGCATTAGAGAATGGATCAACCTCAGGTCTTCGGAGATTATCTCTGAACATTACCTTTTTGCATTATGACATATCTTCCTACCAGAGTCTAAAGCCCCCATACAAAAGATTTCCTGGACAAAAATTAGAAAGTTAGCTCTATGGTATGATGCAGAATGCATGGTAAGAGATGAACTCAGGAGAGAGCCATTTTGCTTTCAGAATTAACCAACACAAAATCCGGAATATTAAAATACAATGAAAAAGGGAACATCACCCCCATGATTTATTCTTTTCCTTACTTAAGACTGTGGATGGTTATGAAACTGGAGGTCTATTAACATTTAAATTTTCATAATCACAATAAACGTGGAAGTTTTTCAGCTGATGAGATCTCTTCCTTAGTATCAGCCGAGATCAGCTTGTCCCTTTCAAACAATTATCCAGAACTATAACGTTTATCTCACGGTATTATTTTCACAAGGTAGATGACAGGGATGTTTATGCCACTGAATTTTATTATAGATGGGAATGTGGGAAATGATGTGAGCCCCAAATCTTAAACAATAAATATTTGGTAAAGGTTAGCTTAAAAGAAGACAAGACTACAGTCCCACCTCCTTGCTTACCTAAGGTTGTCATTCACAAAAAACGAAAATTTTAAAGTCAGAACATTTAAAAATGCAAGAAGGTCAACATTTGTGACAATGATTAAATTATTCCATCATCATCATTAGATTGTAGGGAGAGTATTTTGTTTTGTTTTCTGTTTTACCATTGTACCTGGGGAAGACTCTTGACAATCTTAATGTTACTTTTTCTAAAATTTTGGCTTTGCAGTAGCTTTCAGAATCTTCCTTGCACGTGTGGCTCAATGAAGGACCAGGGTGAAATGCTTGTTTCTACGGAACTAAGCCTCATTCGATAGTGAATAAGCATGTGAGAAACAATACCAGATACATAAGGTAGCCCTTACAAATCTCACAAGCACATCTGGAGTGGTCTGTGAACGCAGACAGATGCTTTTAAGTTTGAAATCTTCTGCCCACTAAGAAGTCATTGCACAAGAATGCCCCCCTCGGGAAAACGACGGACCTCCGTGTTCAGAAGAAGGCCAGGTTCAAAGAGCAGGCATTTGCCCTTGCTTTTAAGAACATTTCTGGGTGAAAATACCGATTGCTCGTCAGTGGATTTTTAGGGCTCACACATCTTTATAAATCTGTTTTGGTCACATTGCATTTTATTGTTTGATGCACTGCTTCGGCACTTTCATACTTTAGAGGACACCGGTTACGGATGTCATTAAATCTAAATGTTTGAGCTTTTCCGGATGTCCGGCATTCAGTGTTTTGGTTGTGCTGTGTCCCACCAAAGAGCAGTTATCGATTTGCACTTGTGTGGGGTGTTGGGACAGGCATGGTGATTACCCGAGTTTCCTGCTTGCAAACCAAGAAAGTGAGCTGCTACCGTGTGTGAGCTGTCCCTGAAATAATTCCTAAATCATTTTCTCTCACCATGTTAATGTCCTTTATTGTCACTAGAAAAAAGTTGGTGAGGCAGAGTAGGAGGAAGAGACAAACAGGATTGAGTCACGAAAAATTAATGCAACTATGGTAAAAACACTACAAACTCTCAAGCTTGAAATTGCTTTTCATTCAAACAAAAGAAGTCATTGATGCATTCCTTTTTATGACTTCCCTTGTACCGTCTGATTATTTCTTTATTGGAGGGGATAAAACAGAGAGCAGAGCTTTAAAAATAGTTTCTAAAATGATACCAGAGTTTTTGAAATTTAAGACTTCAATAACATCATTATAATCCAAATCAACCCAGAGCCAATCCCTCTCGTTGTGAGCTCCCCATTCCAATTCTAAATGAATTTCACATACCTGCCAACCCAACCGTTGTCTGAAGTCTTTAAATGAAGAACTTCTTTGAAAGCTGTGTGATCCTTGGGAAAATGATCTGACTTCTTCCTACCTCCATTTACCATGAAGATAACAAAGATACTCATTTCTTATGGTAGATGCAAACTCTAAATGGACTTAATGCATGTAAAGCAGTTGGAGTAGTGCCTGGTATGTGGGAAGTGATTGATTAATGCTAACGATCCTTGTCCTGTTCTTCTGAGGTTTTTTGGGGTTTGATTCAGAATCCTTTCCAGTTTTCACAGAATCGTCTCTGTTGCCCAACCTTTCCCAGGCTAGACTCCCACAAATATTCCTCTCCGCCCATTCCCTTCTCCTGGCTTATCTGTCCCTCTTTCTTGCACAGTCATGTCCTACATGACAAAGATTGCACTGGAGCAAAGTTCCTAGGCTTTAGCCTGGATTTTAGGGATCAAGAATTTTCTCTTACAGGATTTGGTAGCTTACATAGTTTCCATTCTCCCTTTACAGCGCTGTCCTTCTCCTTATTAAAAGTAGAAAGCTTTCCCAAACAGGACTCCTTCCTAAAAATGTGAATTCTTTAAACCTCATTCATTAAACAACACTTTGTTCAAGCTGAAATTTGATCACTTCGTTTTTGTCCAGAGACATTTTGAAGCCCTCGTATAGATCTTCATCAACTAATAACATTTCACACGCATGAAATAGCTAATGCTAAAATCCGCTCTTTGCTCTGTGCCAAAGACTCTATTAAGTTCTTTGCAAGGCTTGTATTCAATCCTCACACTACCCCTGGGCGGACATGACCGTCCCCATTTTACAGATGAGGACAATGAGGAACAGAATCAGTCTGCCAAGAGAGTTCCTTGGGATAGTTAAGAAAGTTGTCTAAAGCTACTCAGCTTTTGAATAGCAAAGATGGACTTTGAATTCCAGCAGAAATCTGAACCCTCTTACGAATAAATAATGTGTCTAAAGTCAATGCAACTACTTGAGGCAGCTTGTTGCCCAAACCCTGTTTTGCCCTTTAACCTTTCATGTGTCCATTCCTGACCACTGACCACGAGCCGTTCCAGCTGCTGCTCTGCTGTTCCCAGACTGACAGGAAGAAGTCTTGCTGCCGGTTTATTAAAAAAAAGGAAGAAAGAAAGAAAAAGAAGAGAAAGAGGCAAACAATGGGGAATGTCGGAAGCAAACATGATTTCAACTTTGTTCATAGAGGTGGAGTTTGACCTGGGAGGGTCTGGGATGCAGGAGGACTTTGAAATAAGCATGCTATTTATGCAGACTGCTTTTTTTTTTTTTCCAACTTTTATGGTTTATCTTTTGGCTGCAGTACGAGGTTCCTAGTTTTCCAGTAGTATTCTTTAACTCAGCGACCTAAAAGATAGGAGCGCGATGGTGTAGTGGGGTTTGTGTGAGGCTGTTAATCCCATTGTAAAAAGTTCAAACCCACTAGCCTATTCCGTGTGGGGAAAGTGGAGCTTTCGGCTCCTGTAACATTAAGAGCCGTGGAAACCCCACAGGATACATCCACTCTGTCCTCTGGTTCTATTGTGAGTCAGCATGGTCATCGTGGGCGTGAGTTTGGAGGTAAAAAGTTATACTTCTGACAGAAAAGAGATATAAGCACGCCATTGAACACTTTGTGGTCATCCCAATGCTAAGTGCGTTGTTCACTTTTTTCCAATTAAAATTCCTACCAAAAAATTACCCCATGCCTTTCTAAAACCTATGCTCTTTACTCATTTCAGTCGGGACCCTTTATATCACCTTGCTCCTTCCCCTTAATTAAAAAGTCACTGAGTGATGTTTGGTGCATACCAGAATGACGATGCATGTCTTGCTCCATGGAGGTTAGTTATGTCTTAGAAGGGTGTGGCAAAGGCATGTGATAAAGAATAAGCAAGTTCGTGAACACTTGGATTTCACGTTGTGATTATGCTCAAAGAAGGAAAGAGCCTACTTCTGATGAGGTAGTTCCAGGGGGCCTTTTTGCAGGGAGGGGCATTTAAGATTAAGCTGAGGGATGCAGCAAGTAAGGTGGCCATGTAGACTGGGAAGCCACAAATAAATGTCCATGTGATAACAATATGCGCAAAGACCCTGAGGACAATAGCTTTGTCCTCAAGAAATGAACATCGTGGAAGCAAATGAGTAAGAGATAAAATGGGCGCCACTGGAGATGAGCGTGGGGCCAGAGTGGTGGATGGATCTTATTGAGGAAGACCATGGAGGGCAAGATTTATGTTCAAGGCAAAGCTGATTGGGCGGAGTGCTGCTTTCATTTGGCGCATTTTCTCAACTTCCTTGAGGGGGAAACCATTTCTGTGTCCTTGTGGTCAGGAAGCAGTTGAACGAACACGTGGGTGGGTGACTGCGTCGTGCCATAGTTGAAGAAAATAAGCCTGGCTTCCATTTTCTGTTCTTCAGTTTACTTAACGTAACCTTATCTGAGATTATCATCAGAGTT